TAAAACTTTAATATTTTTAATATATATATATAGATATATATATTATTAGAAAATCTATTATATATTTAGTACCAGTATTTATTAATGGAAAAAACATACAATAAAAAAAATAAGAAATTTACTTGAAAGTCAAATAAAAGCATTTTCTTTTTAATTTTACTTAATATTTTTAACATTTTCAAAATAAAAAACTCTTGAAAATGATATTTTCAATATATATATATATATATATAAACTGGTCTTTTTTGTCTAAATATATTATTTAATAAAAGTCACTTAAAGTAAATATTTTCTTATATTCTTATATTTATATATATATATAGTTATTAGACTTTTATATTATATATATATACAGTATATATATATATATATTTACTGTAGTAGTATTAAAAATGATCATAAAATAGCTAAAATAAAACTTTTCCGAGAAAATGGTAATATTTTCTGTTTGATGTTAAAAGCAATAATAAAATGGCATTTGAATTATTAATAAATACATCAATAGTTTTATGATATATTATTCTCTCTCTCTCTCTCTCTCTCTCTCTCTCTCTCTCTGTTTGAATATTAATTTGTAGAAAATTATAATTATATTATTATAAATTTATTTGATTTTGTTGAGGAATTTTGTCATTAAGTAAATAATATATATATTTATTTCACAGAAAACTTAATAAATTACATTTTAATTTAAAAACTGATTTATATTTATAAATGATTCCCAGAATTTTTCTATTATAAATGTCAAATAGATTTTTTACATTATATTATAAATGACATTAAATAAATTAGATAATACAATTAATTTACTTTATATTAATATATATATATATATAATTTTTTAGTTATTTGTCCAGATGATGATGATAATAATAATAATAAAGATATTATCAACAATTTATTTGCTCTCTCTCTCTCTCTCTCTCTCTCTCTCTCTCTCTCTCTCTCTCTCTCTCTCTCTCTCTCTCTCTCTCTCTCTCTCTCTCGTCAAATAGCTTTCTAATATTGTAAATATACTTTATATATATATTACTTTATATATGTTCAATTTTTTTGTAAGCTAGTTTAACAAAATGTTAAAGTTTATATTATCATAACTACCAAATTGATATTGATGTCATGTATTGGGCGCTTAAATGACAAAATTACGTTTTCAAACTTGAAATTATTTACTTATAAGAAAATTTTAACAATATATATATAAAGTTTATACTATATATATAATAGTTGTGTGTTAAACTTTTTATTATCGATATATATATATATATATATATATCATGTATTTTCTGCACACAAATATACATATAAAAAACATTTCAATCAATCACGTGTCACAAGTGCTTAAAAAATCTCTGGGTATCTATTTATATGAATCAATCAAATGGGAAATTATTGCCAATTTTATCTGTCATCGATATATTTATAGATATACATATAAATATAGATACAGACATATATCTATAGATTATACAGTGTGTATATATATAAAACATTTTAAATAAATATATTATTAAATTATATAAATATATATATTTTTAATAAAGTTTATTTGCTTATTAGACATATCTGTATTGTAAATACGGTATATTTTTGACAAAATAAAAAATAGATTTTTTGTTTTTTATTTTTTTTAAATAAAAGATTTGTAAAATCAACTTAATTTTAAATTTTGTTAAAATAATGTTTTCTCTATATACAATATAATTTTTAGCCGCCAGTGATTATAATTACTACTAATATTACACTTATATATCTATTATTACTATTATTATTATATTTAATTAATACTTTTATTTAACAATTTTATTATATATACATTATTAATACTAGTAGTAATGGATATGCATTTTTTCAAGTATACAATAATATAATTTATAATATCAATATACCGATACTGTATAATATTAATAAATATATATATATATCAGGGTTAAGCAAGGTTTTGGATTTTAGGGGGGTAGACCGGGGTAAAATTTAGAAAATTCTCAAAAAATCTTGGGGGGGGGGGTATTGGGTGGGGTAAGATTTTTATTGCATTTTTAAACGGCAATTTTTTCAAAAATCCAAAATCAAGGGGGGGGGGGGGGTCTAGAGAAAATTTCCTAAAAATTCCTTAAGTTCCCGAATATTCCCATGTAAATTCAATAAAGTTCCCGTATAAATTCCCGGGAAAATAGGTAAAATTTCCAAAAATATAAAAAAAAACTTAAAAAACTTAAAAATTAACAAAAATTTAAATTTTAACAAAAAATAAATATTTTTTAAAAAATTTTTTTAAAATTAATAAAAACTTAAATTTTAACAAAAAAAATAAAATAATGTATTTAAGATTTAAAAATAGTTGATAAAAGCATTAATGATACACTATGAGTTATTTTTAGTATTTTAATAATTTTTAACTTTTAACATAATTAATTTTTTAAACAATACTTAATGTTTATAGTTTGTTATATATTTTTATTTTTATACAAATACTGACTGAATACTACTTATTTAACTCAAATTTCGTTAAAGTTTAATTATATTAAGTACAAAATTGAAAATATTTTTAAATTTTTTATTTAAAATTTAAAAATTATTAATAAAAACATAAGTATTTATTGTTTTATTAACTTCTTAAACTTATATTTAAATTGTAATATGATTACTCTTTTCAACAAATAGGTAATTTTTAATTTTTTAGTTTATTTTAATTAAAATAATGTTATTTTTTGATGACTTTTAACATTATTTTAACTATTTTTAATCAATAATTAGATTTTTATAAATATTAAAAACATAAAAACACTTACTAAAATAGTATCAACTAAAATTAAAATTTTTTTAAATTTCAAAAAAATTTTCGGCGCCTTCGGCGCCGAAATTTTAGGGGGGGGGGTCATTTCTCCTCGTTTTTAAGCGACAATTTTTTCAATTTGGTCAAAAAGTCTGGGGGGGGTAAAATCCCAATTTCTCGATCTTAGGGGGGGGGGTATTTTGGCCTTACCCCCCCCCCCCCCCCCTTACTTAACCCTGATATATATATATATCTAAAATAATCAGATTAAATATCATTAGACAGTACTAATAGTATTTATACTAATATATTATAAATACTATTAAATATGTACTAAACATGTATTATATAAATTCTGTATTATATTTGTTGTTAAGATTTATTTAATAAATCTAAATCTTCAACAAAACAAAAATTGAAATTTTGTTCACAATTTTTTCTTATTATTATTAGTAGTAGTATTAGTATTTTGTTCATAATATTATTGAATTGTATTATATTTGTTTGAATTTGTTTTACAGTTTATCTAACATTTTTTTCTTATTATTCTCTCTCTCTCTCTCTCTCTCTCTCTCTCTCTTTCAACTCTATCATTGCATTCATATTTAAAAAAAAACAAAATGTCAAAATAATAGTCGTATCGATCGAAATGCAAAAAAGCGATTATATTATACTTTATAATAACTGCATTTTTTTTTGTTATTTTACAATTTAGATTTTAGCTCCCAATAAGTGTGATGCTGTTCATATATTCATAAACTATATATACAGTATATATATACTCAAAAAACGTATATATTTAATATGTAGTATTATATTAGTACAAATATATATATAATATGCTTTTAAAAGTGATAATTAATTTAAAAAAATAGAATACTTTTTGTAATTTTTTTTATATAAATAAATTGATAGAAAACAAATAGTTATTAATTTTTTAGTTATCTTATCGTTGCCTACTATTGAATAAAACAGTATTCATATTAATTTATATAAATATATATTGTATATACACTGTCTATGTAATGAATACTATATAAACATTATATTTATATAAATTACTTGATTAATGTATTATTTAAAAAAAATAATTTATATTCATTTACTTTTCTACTAATAGACATTATATTAATTTTTATTATATACTAAATTATATTAATGAAATTTTGTTGCGAAAGTTTATGTGATAATTTATTTTTAAAAAACAATTTTCTTAATATTATTATTAAATAAAAGAAATTAATTTTCTGTTTTGTTTAATGCGTTAAATCGATTTTTAAATATAATAAAATTAGATATTTTTTGTTTGATAAATAAAGTAAAATATAACTTATATTTTAAAAAGCAATATAGATTATCAGTATATTAATATATATATATATATATATATATATATATTAACTATTTTTAAAATATTTTATACACTGTATAAATGTGTTTTATATTTTTAATATATGTTATATCTGTTAATCCTAAACATTGTTAATGATTTACTACCAGTATGTGTGGTGTTTAAAGCACATCCCTTTATATATATATATAATATTATATATATATATTGTCTGTTTTGATCCTTTATCCCCCAGATTTCTATCCCCTTAAAGTAGACATCACTGTATTTATAGTCCATACTCTTTATATATTGATTATTATTTAAGGAGTTTAATGGAGAGTAAAAATATAAATACATATAACTATTTTGAGCTTTTTTCATATATATTAAGAATTATATATATATATATATACAGTATATATCTATTGTTTATATTTAATATATATAATAGACGACACAATAACAACAATACAATAGCGGTTTTTATGGCATATACTGTATATCTATATATATTTATATATTAAATGTTTTAATCCATTATTACACAATAGTGACGTAAAAGAGTTTTATGGTATTAATTAATTTGTTAAAAATGCTTTATATAATGATAATAATAATAACAATATAAACAATACTTTTTAGATATATAATTATATATATATGTCTAAACTTAAATTTACAATGATTTAATTAAAAATAAAAAATATATATCATTTTCATTGTACATTATAATTAAAATTTATTAATTATATTGTAAAAATTTTAGGATGTTTTATTTCTATTTTATTTGGAATTAAAAAAATATTTTAATTATTCAAACAAAATTAAACGAAATAATTAATTTTTGTTTAAACATTTTATTTATATATATATATATATATATATATATAGCTCCATCATACCATTGACCGCAATGAGCGCATGGAACGGTACCAGGGTATGGGTACGCCACGTATTGTGCACCACCCATCCATACAAGCTTGTCCTCCAACATGTGCTCAGGTAGGTTATCAATTTTTCATACAGTATATAATTAAATTTTATCTATCAATAAAACATCAACAACAACAATAGCAAAATTTTTTAAAAAAAATGTATTAACTATTTTATAATATTGATACAACTAAATATAATTATAGTGTACAGTAAGGGTTTGTTTTTTTTAGAAAAAAAAGTAATTTAGCATTTAATATGCATTTATTTATTTTTTTTTGAGATTTTAAATTATTGCCGAAAAAAATAATAATAATGTTTAACAATGAAAAAATACATTTAAAAAGAAATTTGCATATATATTACAGTCTATTTTAAAATCACATTTTTGTATATTATATATATATATATATATACTGTATATATTTTGTAATATATTTTAAATGTATGTATATATATATAATATTGTATAATTCAGTAGATTTAGACAACGATAGGGTAAAAAATAAAATTATATTAATATAAATTTAATGTGGAGTGCATTGAGAGTTATAAGGTTAGGATTTTTTTGAGGGAGGATATAGTCTGCACAATATATATATATATATTATAACCCATATATAATATATTGTATTATGCAATATAACAATAATGTATTTTCATATTTTCCAGTACTACATACAGTTATAGACATAACTATGCGTTTAATGTATTGTCAAAAATTTTTGTATATTATATTCACGAAATATGTATATACAGTATATATATAATATACAGTATATATGATATATATATATATAAAATCTCTTTTATTTTGTTGTTGAGTGTGTGTGTGTGTGTGTGTGTGTGTATGAGTGAGTGAAAGTAAGTATAAATTGTATTATTCTTATTATATTATATATGAATATCGTTTTTAAAAAGAGAAAAGAAATGATAGAATATTCTGTTATACAATATATTCTATATATTGTTTAAGTATTGAATATAATTCCTTATTTATAAGTTAAGAGCAATCAATCATTTTATTGATAAATTATATTTAAAAGACATACAAACAATATATATATATATAAATATAAATATAGTATTTATGTATTAAAAAGACAGTAGAAGAGAGAGAGAGAGAGAGAGAGAGAGAGAGAGAGAGAGATTTTATATATGAATAGATCGATAGATAGATAATTATTTAATATTAAGTGGAGTATAAAAAATTATGTATTTATTTTTAATACTATGTTTTTTTATATATAAATTGTATACACAATATATCTTCAAAAGTTCAAAAGGTTATAATACATTTACTGTACTGTAAATATACAGTATATATATATATATAATATATATATATAAAACCCCATATTATTGACATATTAATGTAATAATTTAATAATGTATAATACAAAAAAGTAAATTTTGTTTTGTTTATGCTAAATTAGCCAATTGTTAATGTATCTATTATTTACTGTATAATATTACACACTAACAAACACTCAAAACAACAACAAAATTAAAATAAAAACATATTTATTATTAGTGTACTGTATGTGTGTGTGTGTCTTATTTAGCACACAATAGACAAAAAATGTACATGTTAAATTTTATGATATAAAAATAACCATACAAAAAATGACCTCAATTTTTATTTAATAAAAAAACACTAGAAAATAAAATAATTTTTTTAAGTAATATTTTTTTATGATTTAATGGATATATTTATTTTGTTGTTTTTTGTTGATAATATTATTATAATTTAATTATACAAAGAAAGAGAGATCAAATTCATGGCATATATGTATGTATTGTTTGTATGTTTTTCTCCACTAAACATGTGTAGTACCCATAATATGAATAAGTAGTTATACACAAAATAACAACAACAAAAAAAACTAGAAAAATAAAATTATAAATAAAAAACATTTTATACATAGACTTATATATATATATAAGTTATAAATGGATATATAATACAAAGTTATATTCTTTATATAAATCATAACACGTTTTTAATGCTTTTAAGTAATTTAGTGATTAAGTCTCAAATTTGTTGTTTGTCTGTAGACATGAAAGCGATAGATAGATAGATAGATAGATAGATAGAGAGAGAGAGAGAGAAAGAGAGAGAGAGAGTTGAAAACAAACAAAATCATAAAATACATTTAAAAAAATTATATTTATATATATATATATATACAGTATATTGTTGTAATGTATTTATTATAATTTTTTATGTTAGAAATTTTGGTGCAATATTTGTAATTTTTGTTGTTGTTGTCTTGTAATACTACTACTATCTATACAAATATAATACTATGATATATGCATATATCATACAGTAGTATACAGTATTGTATAGTAAATTACATTACTAGTAGTACACTACTATTATTATTATTATTATTACTACTACTACTACTATACATAGATAAGTAAAAATAATAATATAAAAAATGAATCATTGAATCGGATATTATGGCAAATGATGAGACTATTCAATAAATCATTTATTATTTATCGTTTATATCTCATATATATATACAGTAGTAGTAGACATACACACATTTGTCAATCAATCTCAAATACTATCATTTAGTTATTATTATTATTACTACTATATAATACATTATTAGAAACATATAGATAACAACAAGCAAATATTTAATATATAAAATACTGCATTTATTTATACTATATATGTAGTCATCATTATACAGTGTTTATTTTATATGATTGTCTAAATAACACTATATTTTAATTTAACAACTATTATTTGTATAATCAAACAAATTATAGTTAAATTAGTTAAAATAGTTAACTAAAATTATCAAAATTATTATAAAATTAAAAATACAATATATATATATATCCATAATTAAAAGAATATTCTATAAATATTATTTGAATTTATTTATATTAGTTATACTTTATAAAAATAACAACAATACAATTACAATACAATAATACAAACTATTAGAGATTTTCAACAACAAAAAAGTGTAATACTTTATATACTGTATATAAAAAAAACGTAGAAATAGCAAAATTTTCTTATCTAACTAAATATATAATGTATATAAATAATAGGTAGATAAATAGTTAGATAGATATATTATCAGTAAGTGTACACACATATATATATATATACAGTATATAGTAGATAATAAATATTACTTTATATATATATATAAATACTATTAAATATGTTTTATTTTTTATATTTTTGTTTCACTAGTGATGTTGTATGTGGAAAAAAGTCCACTAAAAACACAACACACCACACAATATATGACTTTTTATTTTGGGATAAGAGTTTTGCTCTCTCTCTCTCTCTCTCTCTCTCTATCTCTCTCTCTCTCTCTCTCTCTCTCTCTCTCTCACTCTCTCTCTCTCTTTACAACTAATATATATTGCTTTGAGACAAATGATGTTTTGCCTCAACAACAGTAACAACACACAGAAAAAAACATCAAAAACCCCTTCATTTGACTTATTTTTGTATTTTATATTTTCTCCTATACTTTCATTTTGTGTGTCGATTTGTGTGCCATTTCCTCGGAAAGATTTTTTCGACTGATTTTTATTTTATTTTAGTATTTCTACAGTTATTTTTTATGCTTTGATTTATTAGATTTTGAGACCAATTCCTACTTTTAAAGTAATTTTTGTTTTGTTTTTTTTGTGTAGACCAGTATTTTTGATGACTTTTTACAATCTCTCTCTCTCTCTCTCTCTCTCTCTCTCTCTCTCTCTCTCTCTCTCTCTCTCTCTCTCTCTCTCTCTTTCTTACGTTTTTACTAAACATTAAAATAAAGTTTATTTCCAATTATTTGTTGTTGTTGTTGTTAATATAATATATGATTGTATTTTCAAATTTTGTTGTTGTTGTTGGTGTTAAATAAAGATATTGCCTAAAAAAACTTAAAATAAAAATTAAAAAATTTCTATTTTAAAATTATCGTCAATTAACATAAAATTATTTTATTTGAATATTTTGTTAAAATAACATTTTATTTTATTTTTTGTTTTGTTTTGTTCAAATTACAGTGTATATATATGTATTAATATATATTTTTTAAATATTCAGTAGTTAATATTCAATAGCATTAAAATATTTAAAAAAAGTATAGACACCTACACACTATAAAACCTGATAATAATTTTAATTAAGTAATGTTATGAATGTAATATAAATTTATTCAAGTATGCCATATATTTCTATAATTATATATAAGTATAGAGTTTAATGAAATCAAATTTTTATTTGTATTTATAAAAAAAGTGAAGTTTAATTATAGTGTCATTTAATAGTAGTCTAGTGTTTATTGTATTCATTGTATTTACCATTAATAAGTAATATTAATAATTATGTTAATAATAATAATAGTAATAATTTTATTGATTATTCAATAGCATAGCATACTCGACAAAAAAATATATATATATATAATATATATTTATATATTCAGTAACATATAAAACCATTAAACATACATTAAATACTAGTTATAATAATTCAAACTTATTTTATTAGTGACTTATTTTACTAAACATACTCTATATACAGTATCAATTCATTATATTAGAGGGTTATACATAGATATAATATAAATAAAAAGCTAAAATTTAAATACATTACTAATTTATTTTATATAATATTAATTTCAAATTATTAATTTCATAGCATTCCTATACAAAATAGTACAATATATACACTGTATTATAGTTTAAATTAGTAGATATAATATTTAGAAAAAATAAAATATAAATTTTGTGTTTAATGATTCAAATGATATTTTAATGAATAAATATTTTTTTTAATTATATGATACTTATATAATATATATATATATCGAAATATAATATTTATAGTTTCAATATATATTCAAGAAAAAGAAAAATTATATATCTAATAATTTTATTTATATCTATGAGATGTTTATATATACAATTATTATATTATATAATTATACTAATTATAAAACTATTATAAAAGAGTTTAATTTAAGATATTATTAAATTTTCTTTTATAAAAAATACAAAAAAAATATATCTATAATTATTAGTACAAAATTTGCTACTATTAATAAAATTTTAATGAATATTAACTAATTTAAAAATAATTTTACTAAAAATTTAGCCATTTAATATATATATATATATATATATATAATTTTATTTATCATTACAACTAATAGCTTGATTTATTTTACAAAAATACTTAAAGTTAAAGTTTGCCACACATTACTATAATATATATCACTAGTGTTTAATAGCACAAAATTTTTTTTCTCTCTTTCTCTCTACTTATATATAAAATATTTAATACAATATAATGCATATATACATACACACAAACACTGTAGACAAACTAAAGGAAAAACACATTTGTATTGATTTGTCTTATAATAAATGATATTTTTTATCAATTTATACAACAATTCCTTAATACAATATATACTGTATATACTATATATATATACATACAAACATAAAATTATATATATATATATATATATATTAAAATCTTGTTACTTATAGTTTAAATACAGTATAATGCGATAATAATGTTATTTTTAAACACACATTTGTTTTAAATACACACACACACACACACACACACACACACACAAATTAATGATAATGTATGTGTTTATGCGTGTATATAAAAAATTATAAATAGTAAATATATATATATTTATATATATATAAACCATAGTTTTTTTAAATATTAAATTTATATTTTTTAAATATTAAATTTTTATTTTTTTTAATATAAAAAGTAACCAAAAACAAAACTCAGATCAAATTCATTATTATGATATAAAAACAAACAACAACAACAAAATTTTAACAAATTATTAAACGTTACTATAAATAAAAATAAATGTAATTTATATAAAATCATTTATAATTAAGAATTTACTTATAATTGTTTTCTAAATTTTATGGATTATTTAACACAACAAACATTAATACAACAACAACAACATCACATACACATACAAAAAATATATAATACATTTAAAAATCAATAATTGTTTGTTTCTAAAGAAAGAGAGAGAGAGAGAGAGAGAGAGAGATAAATAAAGAGAGAGATTAAATTGATGTGAAAAAAATCATTTAAAATAATTATTTTGTTGCTTAAAAAATTGTGTGTTGAAAACAATCAAAACAAATAAATCATTAAACCAGTGATGTTGATGATGATAGCAATAATAATAATAATAATAGGAGCAAAAATAATAATAATATATTTTTAGTTATGCAAAATACATAATGTATATAATGTACAATAATAAACTGTTTGTACGGTATATAAACATAATTTTCTAGTTTTTGATTAAATAAAAAAAACCTAATAGATTAAAATTTAATCTAATTAAAAATAATCACAAACATATCATATATGCAAAAATTAAATTATATCTAACATATAACAAGTATATGTACAGTTTAATTTAGAGATAGAGAGAGAGAGAGAGAGAGAGAGAGAGAGAGAGTAAAATATATTTAAATATTAAATATATACATATAGTATACCCTCATCTTATCCATTAATTTAATTTGTTTAGTGCCCTAATTTAATTAAATGAATTTTTACAGTATTGTATATTATACAGTATATATTTATGTTTACGTATGTATGTATGTATGTATGTGTGTGTATGTATGTATGTATGTGTGTGTGTGTGTGTGTATGTATGTATGTATGTGTGTATGTATGTGTGTGTGTGTTTATTTTAATCATCATTAATATTATTTTCATAGAATAAATTATGTATTGACCATGATGATTATTTTATTTTATTTTACTAAGCTAATTTATTAAACAATGTGTGTGTGTGTTTATGTATGTATGTGTTTTTTGTTACTTATTATTTTTTTTAAATTTATCTGTTATCTCTATGTACATTACACCACACACACACACACACACACACACACACACTTACACAATAAAGCGCTATGTATGGTATAGCATACTAAATCCCAATAATAACAATACCAACAACAACAACACTAAACTACTATTACTATTAAGAGTCTTATATAATGTTGTTGTTGTTGAATAATTTTGTTGACTACTTTTTTTGCATTTTATTTTTACTTAATTTTATTGATAGATTTTTTTCTCTCTCTCTTGTATATTATTGGTTACACTGAATAATCTTATAATACTAGGGTTACTATTGTGTATTTGATAATATATAATATATACTGCCATAGTGTACTAATAAAGCTATACTGTACAGTAATTTTATTTATTTATTTTATATAACTATACCGGTACACAACGTATAGCACTTTATATTAAAAAATATAAATTATAAAAAATAAAAATTAATTTTTTTTATAGTTATTTTCCATATATAATCAAATATACATTACGTCTATAGAATAGACAATCATCTACTGTACTAAAAATACTACAGAGTATTGGTATTAGAAAAAAATTATTATTATAATAAAAAAAAATCAAATATTTTTGTTGTTACTATTATTATTTAAAATTACAAAAAAAAATTTCGATATGAATATAAATATATAAATATTTAGTAGTTAAGCGAATAAAAAAAATATTTATTGATTAAATACTTGAAGTGTTCAAAAAAAATAAGAAAGAAAATTGATTTTTTTTCTCAAATTTTAATATTGAATTTTTTTTATTTATTTATTAAAAAATAAAATATTGATTTTTTTTAATTAAAAATTATTTTTTTTATCCCCCAAATGATGAATAGGATGTACGGCTCAAGATGTCTGACGCCAAATCGTATGCCAAAACATATACAACAGTAGAAAATCCATTGAACAACGGCGGCAGTAGTGCTCAATTGACGTCCTCGGCAGCAGCAGTGGCCAGTGCTGGCCAACAACAACTACTACAACCACCACCCACACCAACACCAGGTGCTGGCGGCGGTGGACAGGAACCCGATACGCCATCGACGCCGGCCAGTGCACCGTTTGGCTGCAAAAATCCCAACAAACTGTTTGGTGTATCGCCCAGTGATATTGATAAATACTCGCGTGTAGTGTTTCCAGTTTGTTTTATTTGCTTCAATTTTATGTATTGGATCATCTATTTGCATATATCGCACAATGTTGAACCAGATCTCATGAGCCATTGATTTAGGGCTGAGCCCCTACCGACACTACCTGCACACAACAACCATCACCACCACCACCACTACTACTACTACTACTACAAGCTGCTGGCTATCCTATTGTGTCATCATTTAGGATGCATGTATGTGTGTGTGTGTGTGTCTGTGCATTAATTGTAGACAACTTTATTTAACTAAATAATAATAATAATAAACTGGTCACACTAGTTATGTGGATACTACAGTAAATACAATACTACTACTATTACTACTACTACTACTAAAATAATAATTATAATAATACTGTAATAGATATAAGTACTAATAGTATAATAATAATAATTAATTATTATAATTATTACGATTATTATAACTGTTGTTACAATCACTACTACAGTATATTACATAATGTGTTGACATATACTGTACTATGTATATACTGGTATTAATATATATATATATTAAATCATTTTTATGTTTTTGCTAAATTATTATTATTATAATTATTGTGTGTGTGAATATATTTAATATTTAAAATAATTTAATTAATTAATTATAATTGTACAAGATTGTTTTGTTTTGTGTGTGTGTACTGTATATCTAAGTGTGTTTTTTGTGTGCCTATGTGTGCAAAATTATTATTGATACTAATAATAATAATAATAATCAGCTAGTACATAAATTTTAATAATGAAAATGATGATAATAATAATTTTGACAATAGATTGAAAATCTATTCTAAAAATATACATAAACTTATTTTTAAATTTTTTAAAAACAAATAAAATTAATGATAATAATACAGTAAAATAGTTTTAAAAAATTAATTTAATATATAGAAATGTAAAAAATTGGGTAAAATAAATTAATGTAAAATATTATTATTATTATCATTTATTATTATTAATAATACTAATACATAATTTTAACATTTTTAATTAAAATTAATATTGATAATTTTTGTTGATTAACCAATGAACAAACAAACCATTCAAAATAAAATGAGAAAGGTACAATAGTTATTATTGTTGTTGTTATGTTTTCATATATAAAAACAAAATTGTTAAAATTATGATTATGTTGACTGAAATGTTTTTTAAAAAAAATTATTATGTATAATAAATTTGTTATTGTTTTTTTCTAATAATACTAATAATATGATACAATATTATTGTAGTTATTATTATTAATTATTATGGTTTACATTTTATATACAATATATATTATACTATTGTACATGTATATTTAAAATTATTAATAATATATTTTACAATATTATTAATTATTATTTTTTCGGTGAAAAAATAATTATTATTGTTATTATTATATAAAGGAATTTAGCCGCGATCAATTTTGCACAATTTATTTATTTTTTGTTTTACTAAAACTATTAATAGCTTTACTATTATTATTAGTGCTAGATGATTTATATATATAAATACAAAAAAAAATATTGATTAAATTGTAAAATTGTTTATTGATTTTTTTATTGAGAAAAATAGTGATTATGTGTGAAATATTATTGAAAATCTATTTTTTAATTTTAATAATTAAGTTATTTTATTATTATTATTATGTATATATATATAGAGAAAGAGAATAATATATAAAATATAGACATTTATATAATTAAAATTTTAAACAATTTTTAAAAATATTTATGGTTATAAATAAAATTAATTAGCTTTTTTAACTAAGTGTTATTAGATTTATAATTATATATATATATAAAAAAGAGAGTTTATTGAGATTATTAAAACTAACAAATTTGTTTCTGTTTGAAAATTTTTTCATTATTATAATTATAAATTATATTAGCATTTGTTAAATTTCAAAAATAAAATAAATAATTTTAATAATAATAGGCTCAAAAATTGCAGATAATAATTTTAATTAAAAATAAATATGGATATAAAAAACTTTATTAATTAATAACTTGATGAGTGTGTAATAATAATAATAATAATCTAGTCAAAAAATAACTTTAAATATATATTTTGTTTTTTTAAATAAAATTAATAATAATATTATTAATTATCAGAGAGACAAACATATTGTAAATATCGTATGAAATAAAATAATAATCATATTAAATAATTATAATAATAATAACAATAATAATAATTACACAAATGTTAACATACATTATGTTATAGATAAAAACAACATAAATAAATATATATATATATATAATAGTTTTCAACAAAACTGTAATTATGTAATTATTTGAAGCAAACAAAAAACATTTATTATTATATGATATTAAAACACTAAACAATTTGTTTAACGAAAAAAAAATTTTTACTAACTATTCATATAAATTATATTAATATTAAATAAACATACAATCAATGCTCAAAAATTAATATATATATTTGATTTTTTATGTATAACTAATATAATTATAAATAAAAAAAATAATACTTGTATTACCAATTAAAAAAAGCAGCAATTTTAACAAACATACAAAAAATATTTCCAACAAAAATTGTTAGTTAAAATACAAAAAATTGTAAAAAATATAGTTAAGTTATATATATATAAATATAAACATTTGTTGAGAGAAAATTAATTTTAGTTTTTTTTTCTGTAATGTAAATATAAAAACAAAATTATTTGATAATAATTAATAACATAAAAATTAATTACACTAATGATAATAAATATTGTAATTTTTAAGAAAAAGTGATAATAATATATAATTAAATTAAAAATAAAATTGAGTTTGTATTTAAATCTAAAAAAAAATATTTCAATTATTTAATTGTTTATATAATAATTAATTATTGTTTACTATTTAATATTTATTAAACAAATTTTATTTTACTAATTAAAAAAATTATTCAGTCTATCAAATGCTGGCTAAAAATAATAATAATAATATATTCATTTAATTATCTCATTTGTTTTCATCACTTTTTATTTATTTATTTATTTATATATAAATCTTATCATTGGTTTCATAAAAATCTTGGCGGCAGACAAACAATTGTCGTCTGAATTGTGGTCATCACTGATCCTAAAACTCTTGAGGAGTTGTTTTCTTTGGAAAATGTTGTCATCGATTGATATAATATGAAATGAGTGCCCAAACAGTTGCCGACAAAAATATATAATAAGAGTTATATATACAGTATATATGTCTTCACTGATGACATCTGAAGTATTTGATATTCACTGAATCCATAAGATATACACTAAAAATAAAATACAAACCAATGATTAAGATATAGTTTTATAATAATATTGCTTTATATTATTGTTTTTAGATTTTATAACAAATATTTTATAACGTTTATACCCTTTACATTGAATAAGATATTTTAATTTTTGATATTATTATTATTATTATTTTGGATGCAACTGTATTTTGAATGTTTTTTTTAATTTAAAATTATATATATAATATATTTATAAACATGTGATATATCATAGGATAATAATTGTTAAATTAAATACTTATACAGTACATTATCACATATTATTAAGTTTATTTTAGGTTTATTTTAGGGATTAAAATAGATTAATATGTAGAAACAAATGTTGAATATTATAAATTATGACAAATATCAATATATGTAGATATTTATACATATATTATATTTAGACTACAGTAATAATATTGAAAAATTATTTTTCTCACAAAAATATTCATTTTTATGTAAACACCGATAACTTTCTCTCGAAATCTATACAAAAAAATATCATCCATTGATTGTCATCTCAATCATTGATTTCAAAACTATTCAATTGGTTTTCAAGAGTTTAAAAATAAATTAATTTTATTATGAAAAAAAATTAGTGAAATCATTGGAAAATGTGTTCAATAAGCGATAAATTGAAGAGTAATTTAAATCATTTCAATCAATTGAAATGTTTGACAAAAAATTTTCAACAAATTAGTGAAAAATTGTGTGAAACCTATGCTTACATATGTAATGAAAATGATATAACTATGAAAACAAATGTTTATTGTGACAAATCATTGAAAATTACTGATGAAAACAACACACGTGTCGATAACAACAACACGCGATTCACGTGCTTTTGGCCAAAATGTCGATTTCAAGCTAAATATGAATGTGTTTTAATTAGACATCAAATTAGTCATTCACAAGATTTACGATTCAAATGTGATTTCAATTATTGTAACAAAATATTCATAACTAAAGGTAATCTAAAAGTTCATCAAAAAGTTAAACATTTAAATGTCAGATATATTTGTGATTTCAATGATTGCGGTAAAAAATTTACTACAAATAATGACTTGAATAGACATAAATCTAATGTACATTTGAATATACGATCATTTATTTGTTATTATAATAATTGTAACAAAAGATTTACAGAAAAATATTTATTAAAAAGACATCAATTGGCTGTTCATATGAAAGACAAACAATTCAAATGTGATGTCGAGTATTGTGACAAAACATTTGCCCTAAAAACACAATTAATTAGACATAAATCCATACATTTATGTGAACCACGATTTGTCTGTTCAATCAATGAGTGTTTGAAAAGTTTTACAACAAATCATTGTTTACGACAACACATATCCAGAGATCATTCAATTGAACCCAAATTCAAGTGTAATGTCGACGACAACTGTGGCAAACATTTTGGATCATATATTTCGATTGATTTATATAAACACAATCGCATTATTCAATTGTTAATAAATAAATAATTTGATAAAAATAGAAAACATTATTTGCTTACAAATATATATATATATTATTTAAAAAAAATATTATTAATTCATTATTTTTTAATTTATTAATAACTAATATCACATTTTTAAAAAACTTAAATCTATTAAAACCTGTTTAATAAGTGTACATTAAATAAAGTATATGAATAAATATAATTAAGATTTGTATTATTTAGTATTATTAAAATATTTGATATTCATAATAATAATAATAAAAATTTATAAATCAATTTTATAAAAATAAAATGGCAAAATTTTTACATTATTGTATTTACAGATAATAATAATTTACAAAATAAATAATAGTTAATTAGTTATACGGATTAGTAATTATTAAATATTATTGAAACTCTTGTAGTATTATCACTATTATTATTATTATTATCACTGTTTTCTATAATACTATTGCACTTTATATTATTATTGTTTAAATTACTTATATTTTTATCACTATTGCCATCATATAAATCATATGAATTTTGTCGACAATTAAAACAATTAGTAATCGATGCAAACTTTTCGGGATTTTCGTTATACCACTTGAGCAGTGCTGTACATAATACACAACCAGTTATGAGTAGCGCACCTGTAATTGATGTCCACTCGACTGTGTTGTGAAATATCGATACTTCCCAAACAAATGCCAAAACTATTTGAAAACTTCGGGTGACTGATACCGGACCGGGAGACTCGTACCTGAAGGCCAGTGTCTGGAATAATTGATTACCGATTCCGGCCGCACCAATGGCCAACAACAGTAGCCAAGCACGGGAACCGGTAGGCATACGCCATCGGTCAAGTACTGGTAGTATAGCACATCCGGCTATGACTACTGTCAGTGAATACCACATGATAACTACCGGTACGGGTGTTGTCCTTAGTTTACGCAAATTAATGAACGAATAGGCAGTACTGATGGCCGACACTATGGACAGTATGATACCGATAACACGTTTGTCATACTTGACATCGTCGTCTTTGTTGTCGTCGGCACCGAACAGGAACTCCGGTTTGGCAATGATTACTACACCTACTATATTGACAATACCGGTGATGGCCTGAATCAATGTTACCCTTTCCTTGAGCAACAAATAGGCAAATATAGTGGTAAACACTGGCGATGCCATGTATATAGTGGTGGCATCAGATAACGGCATCATTCGGTAGGCTATATACAGTGTGACCAGTGATGTGGTGCCCGATATACACCTCAATCCAAGTGACAGTCGATGTCCCGGTTGACCAAATAATGAGTGCCTCTTATAGATAGTGATTGCAAAATATGGTATGAATTGTATGGCACACCTGTGGCAAACAAAAAAAATCAATTAATTAATAATCAATATAATCCAGTTATTATCTATAAAATAGATAATATATTTTATTATATATAAGTTTATTATAACAGCAATAAATTAATTAATGATAATAACATTGTTGCAAAATATAATACTAAAAAGATATATAATCAATATCTATAGATTAATAATACTTATTTTTTTTAAAAATAACTAATTAAAATATTGATAAAAAAATTTTAAAAAATAAGATTTGATAAGATTTATTATATACTATAACTATTAAAAAATAATTTAATTTAATTACATACCTAATTATTAGTATTTCAATTGCATGTAATTCGCCTAATAATTTCACAATAAGCGATGCCACCGAAAACAGGGACACACCTATTGACACAAAATTTAGAAAAAAATATATTTTATAAGTTATATATTTATATAAAATATAATTTATAATAGTAATAAAATAATTATAGATAATTATATACTGTATAAAAAATTAACAAAATAAATTATTTACCAATTAATGCACATATTATGCCAAACGCCGGTATGCGCTCCGGTATTGACTTTTTCCTAACACTGTTCTCAACAGTTTTCGTACCATTGATTTCAGTTTGAATTTTAGTATCGTTTGGCACCGGTATGTCATAAAGTGTATGATCACTACTAGTCATTGATTGTGAAGTCATCTTTCAGATTAATCTTACTGTCAACAAAAAACAGATAATAATAAATAAATATAATTTTAAAAAATAATTATTTAAAAAATAGTAAAATCAAAATGTATAAAAATTCAAATTTGCTTACATTTTAAAAAAATTTTAAGTAGTATTATGTATTGTAATAATTATAATATAATTTTTAAAAAACTATTATATAAATATTAGAAGTTATATATAAGTTATTGTACACAAAATAATTAAGCTAGTTAAACTAATATATATATACTAAAACAATTGTTAGATATTTATATATGTTATATAAATTGATTACTTATTGATATTAAATAAAATATAATAGATCTATAATTAACAGTAAACAAAAATAACTACTTGAGATAACATATACAAAAAAGCACATTGCTTAATTTATTTTTTTAAAATATATATATATATACTTTATAGATTATAGTCATACAGTATAAATTATATACAATTGCGTCCTATTGAGTAAAAAATAACTTGAAGTTTGAAACTAAATAAAATAATAAATTGCACAAAAACCGGTAACAAATAATCAAATTTTAGATTAACAATCAAAATCACTAAATAAGTTAGTGTTTTATTTTTAATTGTTTATTGATTGATTGTGACAAACAATTTTATCAATTTATAATACATTAACTTATCTATAAAAAAAACTGTAGGTTACTTACAAATAACAATCTCTTATGTTATTAATTAATAATTTTAATTTATTTTTTTAATAATTAATAAATTATTAGATTATATAAATTTATCTTTTCTCAAAAATAACAATTTATAATACTTATTGTTTTTGAGAAAAGATAAATTTATATAATCTAATAGTTAATTAATTATTAAAAAATAAAAAATTAAATTTTTACTTTATAAAATTTAGTAAAAAAAACTATAATAGTTAAATATAAGTTAAACATTTAGTTATTTATTTATTTGATAAGATATTTGCTATAAATTATTTTATTTGTAATTATATATTTGTTGATAATCATTAAATATTATAAAAATTATAATAAATTAAAATAATTTATATTTTTTAAATAATTTTTTCTAAGGTCTATTTAATAAACTATTTATTTAAAAACATAATTCACTAGAATATTAATCTAATCTAGATTATTTTTTTTAAATATAAGCTAAAAATATCTTATATCTATAATTTTATATATCATATCATTATTTTTTTTAAATAATATTTAATTATCTTTTAATACCTAAATTATCAAATAAAAACTTTTTTATTAAAAATATCTATTAATATATAAATTATTTGCGTACATATATTGCGTACATAAGCCACCACTCCTTCAATTATAAATAATTTAACCAATCACATTTTTTTAATAACATTATTAAATTATTGATGATAATAAGTTATTATTAGTAACAATGATATTCATACCCCTATTGTAGAGTATAAATATAATATATTATCTATATAATAAACTATTGGTTAACTATTATTATGACATAAAAAATTATTTGTACTCAATTTTATAATAAATAATAATAATATATGATTTTTTTAAAAAATAATTTTGTATCTAATAATTATGATATTAATACTGTATTATTAACACAAACATTTAGCAGCAATACAGCAATAATTATGTATTTTTTACTAAAATATATTAAATTTTATTATTTCCAAAAATCAGTATACTATTTACAATATTATATAATATATATGAGAAATAATATGTATGAGAAATTTTGTAAACAAAAAAAATATATTTACAATTACAATATTTTTTTTAGACAATTATTATAAAATGATAATTAATTATTATTATTTTTTTAAAAAACCATAGTTTTAAAATTCAATAACATATGGTGTCCATTGACCATCAAATGTATTGCCCTCCCATATACTCATTTTGCGTCTATCGACATTCAATACTAATTTGGGCTTGCTCATTTTTCTATCAAAATTATTATTATTATCATTATTACTATCAGTTTTCATTGAACCAATAGTATAGTCAATGGTACTGATATCCAAACTGTTACTATTGTTGCCAGTATTGCCACCGCCACCGACAGCACAGACATTGCAAAACAGTTTACCATATTTTTCAGGGTTTTCATTGTATATCTTATTGAAAGCTACGATAAGTACCGATACGGTGATCAATACGGCACCGATAATCGATGCTAAGTCTAGGGATTCGGCAAATATTAGGACTTCCCAGAGAAAGGACAGTACGATTTGTATGCTACGCGTCACAGATATCGGTCCAGGAGTTTCGTACTGTACGGATATTGCTTGAAAAAATTGATAGAAAAAACCGGCCACACCTACGGCCAACAACAGTAGCCAAGTATGCCATTGTTTCGGTAGTGTCCAGTGGTCGATGGCCGGTAGTATAGCACTGCCGGCCACTATAATCGTCAACGAATACCACATAACCATCAACGGTACGGGTGTTGTACGCAACTGGCGTAAAGTTATCAACGAGTAGGCACTGGTTACGGCTGATACCAGTGCCAGTACTATACCCCATATACGATTCGGATACGACAGTTCCTCAGCAGTGTCCGTACCGAATATAAAGGCCGGTTCCGATATGATGAACACACCGGCCAGTGTGATAATACCGGTCAGTATCTGGACTTTAGTGATACGTTCTTTGAGTATAAAATAGGCAAATATGGTGACAAACACTGGCGACGACAGGGATATGGAAGTGGCATCGGATAGCGGCATAAATCGATAGGCCATATACAGGACAATCGAGTTTATTGTTCCCGATATGCATCTCAAAACTAGTTGTATACGTTGGCCGGGTAGTCCAAAAAATGGATAACGTTTGATCAATGTTATGATGAAATACGGTACAAACTGTACTATACATCTAAAATAATAATTATTTTTTAAAAATAAAAAATAAATTTAATTTAATATCAACTATTTAAATAAAATACCTGTAATTTTATTTATTTAAATTACAATATATATTATATATAAAATATTAAGATTAATGCGTTTATAACACTGTTTTTTTGTTGTTGAAAATAATAATAATTCAATACAATTAACTAAAGCATTAGCAATAAAGAAAACAATCAGTTATTTAAAAATTATTATTAATTGTTTGTAATTATTACTAATACTCTATTCAATGCACAATTCAAACAAATTAAATCAAAATGTTATAAATAAGCTTGCTAAATTTATCTATAAAATTTTTACTAGAATTTAATATAGTCATTAAAAAATATAAATTATATATAATTAAGTATATTTAGCACCCACCTAAACACCAGTATCTCAACCGAGTGCAGATCTGTTACCAATTTGACTATAAGCGAGGCCAACGAAAACATGGTTTCACCTAAAAAAAAATGAAAAGTAAATTTTGTTTAATATTAAAAATTATTATTAATACAAATTGAATAAATATTTATTTATTTACCAAATAAGGCACACAAGAGCCCAAACGCTGGTATGCGCTCCGGTATTGACTTCCATTTGCTGATAGGTATGTCCTCATCATAATTATCATCATCAGTATTATGATCATAATCATTAGGTATTGCTATCTTAGTATCATTTTCAACATTATTTATAGTCGACATTTATTATTAGCTAACTCTATATAAGCAGGAATTGTCTCAATAATACTATTATTTAATATACATATAAAAAATAAAATTAATTTTTTATTTTAAAAGTTTGCTAACTTTAATGAATTGGCTAAACTGTATATATGTTTTCTGTAATATTTGTTTGTTTGGCTTATTTATATATATACCTGTCTAGTGGTACCTGTACTCTAGTATACCAAATACCTAACCCTATATAAATTATTTATCAATAAATTTTATTGATGGACACTATTTTTTTACTAGTTGGCAACACTATGGTAACTTTGGCATGCTAAAATTATTTGTTAGTACTAATAAACTAACTAGCTTAATAAAACTTGCATAATATATATGTCTATAACCTATAAGGTTAGGCGTAAATAAAATTTTATATAATTAATTTTTAAATTTTTAAATAAATTTTTAATTAATATAAAATGCTATTAAAATAAATAAATTAATATAGAATAAAATATAATTAATCAATAATTTTTTTTGCTTCAATAGTGTAAATTTTGTTTAATTTATTATAATTAATAAATATAAACAAAAAAATTATTTGTTTTATTTTTAAGCAGTATCAGTTATTAAATTGCAGAGATTAATATATTAAATAGATGTAACATTGTACCTGGATTAGTAGAAATAATATTATCATAATTGATAAATTAAACATTGCAATTATTATGTTTAGATTTAAAAAAATATTTTTTAAATATACATTTAATAAATTTTTATTATAATTTACAATTAATAAAATAAATTTTTTAAAATAAATTTATAAATTATCATATTATTTGTTAAGTTAATATTTATGCTAAAATATTTTTTTTATAAAGTTTATTAATTTTCTATTTTATTTATTTATTTATTACATTATTTGTAAAAACATTAATATAATTATTAATATTAATATAATTGTTATTAAATAAAATAACAGATTACATGAAATTTATTTATACTATTAATGTTTGAAATAAAATATTTTGCTATTTGTATATATTATAGTACAGTATTGTGAATTTAAATATCATTTTTTGTTTAATTGTATTTTAATGGGATTATTTAACATAATAATAATTATAATAATTTTGTTTTAAGTGCATGCATACTAAATAATTACTTTTTTATTTAATTATTTGATTAGATATTTATAAACAATGTATTACAATATATTGTAATTATTTTAATTCATAAATAATAATTTGTTTATTTTTTTGGCACTTTTTCTCACTGCAGTTATATTAACTATATGTCTGTATCTAAAACTACAGTGTATTTCACTGTTTAAGGAAACTAAAGGTTATAAGTTTTTTATATATATATATATAAATATGGTATATCCTATAAAATGCTATTTATATTATATTCAATAGTATATACGGTATATAATTAAGTTATCATTTATTTTGGTTGTCTTAACATTGAACTCATAGATTTGCGTCACTAATATTACAATATGTTATCTTAATATTATTGAATTACTATTACAATTAATCTAATATAAGTTAGACCCCAATATTGTACTAATAGTTATTGCATGTTAGAAACATGGTGTCTGCATGATCAATTATCTAAAATTGTAATTTTTATTAAACAGGATTACACTAGTAGTTATCATTTAATACTATATATATATGCAATTTAATATATATATATAGCTTAGTTTTTTTATAAACAATATTCATTGATTAATTAAAAAATATATATTGTAGTATATAAATCCAATAAAATAGTTAATTAAATAATATTAAATTATTTAAAGAAAAAAAATTAAATTATATTTCAAACAAATTAAATATACTAAAATTTTTAATTTAAACTATATAGTGATTTTATTTTGTCATATATTACACAACAATAACAACAACATTAAATAATTTTTGTTTGGTATTTATTTTATAATTTTTAATAAAGTCTAACATTTTAAATTAATTATTATTAATAATAATATTGAATTAAATTAATTAGTTGAGTTAAATTTTTGTCAAAATTTTAATAATAACTTTACAGAAAATCTTAACCAAAGAATATTGAATAAATATAGACAATATATTTTTTGATAATATTTTATAATTTAAATAAAAATCTTTTAATAACTTAAATATACTGTATGTATATATATATATAAATATTATATCTATATTATATTAATATATATTATAATTAAATAATAAATACATAAATTTTGGTAAATACATTATAAAAGTTTTATTGTTAATATACAATATATATATATATAAAGTAATACTTTTTTGTATATTACAAAACTAAAATTTATAAACTATTGATAAATATCACACATAAGTTGCGTGAAAGTAATATTTGGTATTTTTAAAATAAAAAGATTATTATATAATTATTATTATTATGAAATTTGATAAACTGATAAACTATCTATTACATTATATTATGTTATTTTTTAATAAATGCTAACACTAAGCAATTTATTATAGTAACAATAAAATGCATTTTTTTAAAAAACATCATAATATAATGTAATAATAAAATAATTATCTTTAAGCAAACTTACTGTGTGTCTAAAGTTAATTATGGATAGATAACAAAAATTAAATTGTTGATTTATAAATTATAAGATACTAAAATAATTTTTAAAAAAAAAAACAATTATACATTATATAACATCTATAAAAAATATTATGACATGTATATACAGTAAAAACTAAATTAAATTATATCTAATTTGAAATTGAACATTTTATTATCACATTAATTATAAATATAAAAGTAAAATAAATATTTTATAACAGATATATTTATGATAAGAAAAAATTATTATCAATTTAATTATTATAATCATAATAAAAAATAATCTATCAATTATCATATAGTTTTATGATATTATTTTTTTTTATTAAAAATATAACTTTTCAGCTTAATTATTGCTACATTGCGATTGACTATATTTTTTAATAAATTAATAAAATTTATTATTATTTTATCTGATCAATGAATCTAAATTATTATATTTATCAAATGCGGTTAGTTAATAATCTAGTCGTTAAAATAATAATAATTAAAAATAATAATAATCAATTATCTATTGGTATAAAAGGAGCATGCTAACTATTTATAAATTATTATATCATAATTAGATATTGCAGTCTAAATAATATTTTTAAATCAAAATAAAATATAGTTTTAGATATAATATATATATATACAAAGTTAGATGAAAATAGTGACAAACATATTAGTGGATGACATAACTAAGTCAAACACAAAAACAACAACAGATAATAATAATAATATATCAATACAAGTGGACAATGGGCTCATACCTACTACACAACCATCATCATCGACGACACCCGGACATAACAAATCGCCAGTCAATGGTATGGTCGCCAAACTGGTGGCACTGCCCGAACACATACCGGCGTTTGGATTGTTTAGCGCATTGTTTGGTAATTTAACAAACAAATAGTTTTTTAATAATAACGAAAAGCAATTTAATAATAATAATAATAATTTTGTTTTATTAATTGAAAATTAAATCATTCAATAGGTGTTACAATGTTTTCGTTGGCCTCACTTATTGTCAAACTATTGACTGAATTACATTCAATTGAGATACTAGTGTTCAGGTAATTAATTATAAATAAAACTAATTATTTTAATATCAATTTTTATAATTAAAACAAATTGTATTTTACTAATAGATGTGTCATACAATTTGTACCGTATTTCATACTAACAGTCCATAAAAAACATCCATTTTTCGGTATCGTCGGTCATCGTCTAGATCTAGGTCTACGGTGTCTATCGGGTACGATATCGATGATAACACTTTATATGGCCTATCGGTTGATGCCACTAACCGATGCCTCTACTATCTATCTGTCGTCACCATTGTTTGTAACAATATTTGCCTATATATTACTAAAAGAAAAGGTAACTATAGTACAGGCCCTGACCGGTATCTTAACCATTGTCGGTGTGTTTATCATATCGAAACCGGTGTTCCTGTTTGGTGAGACTAATGATGATAGCAATGCAGTTGATATATACCCAAACCGTATGACTGGTATCATACTGTCCATAACTGGTGCCGTCACAAGTGGCTACTCGTTGATAAACTTGCGTAAACTACGGTCAACACCAGTACCCGTAATAGTCATGTGGTATTCAATGGTAACAGTGGTTATCGGTAGCGTACTCTTACCGTTTATCGATCGTTGGATTCTACCCTATGGTTTGACCACTTGGCTACTACTATTGGCCATCGGTATTGCCGGTGTATTCAACCAACTGTTCCTAACGTTGGCACTCAAGTACGAGTCGGCCGGTCCTATATCAGTGACCAGAAGTTTCAATATTGTACTGTCATTTATATGGGAAGTTACCATATTTTACGAACCGGTCGAATGGACATCAATAGCTGGAGCCGGCCTTATAAGCTCCTGTGTTGTCATTATTGCACTGAATAAGTGTTATCAGGAAAATCCTGAAAAGTTTCAGAAATTTTATGGCCGACTGTTGTTGTGTTGTAAACCTCAGTATAGATCAGAGTCCGACTCAATAGTGGACACAATAAGTGAATCAATTGATAAACAAACTAATAGTAAGTTAAGTAAAAACGCAACTGTAATTAAATTATGATATTATATTATTTATTTTATTTAAAAAAAATTATGTAATGCTAAATATAATTTTTTTGCTATCTTTAAAATTAAAATAGTTTTTTATTATTAAACATGTAAAATATAAAAATGTCATTAAAAACTAATGTAGAAATTGGACACACATTATAAATTTATTTTATAATAGTTTTATTTTTTAAATCTAATTTATTTTTTTTATTACTAATTAAAAACATTTTATTAACATTTATCATAAGCATAATAATTAATTACATCAACAATCAAAAATAAAATGTTTGTAAAATTATGCAAATAAATGATTTAGAAATTTATTTCTATTTATAAAATATAAAGTATTTGTATTTAAATTGATTTATATGGATAATTGACAGATTAAAAAAATCCCATAAGTAATATATAGTTAATACCAGCGATATAAACAAATTGATAAAATTCATAACTAGTCATTGGAAACAAATTATAGCAATAGATGCCAATCACAGGTCCCGATAGTCTATCCAAAAATTGTGATACTTTTAACATTATAGTCTTATTTCGGTGATAATCATTGCGTGCAAAATATGAAAATATTTGTTTATAAGATTTATGAGACGATGCGCTAACTTTTGTGCACATAATTGTAACCATAATTTCGGCACTAAAACAAAATATTGTCAAAAATAAGTAAAATAAACGACCGAACAGTGATGTATCGGATCGATGGACACCATAGAGTATGACCTGAAAGCCAGGTGTAGCCATATAGTAGAGTACAAACAAAATATATTTAAATGTTTCATTGAAATCATTGGTTATGTGTTCAACATATTTATGTTCAACAATAGCTTTCTCTAGTAATAAATTATTACCACTACTAATACTTTTTGAAATTTTATCATTAATTTCTATGAATTTCAATTTCAAATAATAGGTAAATGCCATCCAAAATGTTGTAGTAAACCATAGTATACTAAATATTTGTAAACACATATTGACCATGGTCATAAACCAAAATATTAACATTATTAGTGATTGTTGTTGTTTGCCATTGCTATCCATGAATGCAATTACATTGAAAAGCGTATGAAAGCTAACTGTTATAATAACCGACGGTTTGAATAAATATTGAATTAATAGTATATTTAATAGATTTAAACGTTTAGCAAATCTATGTTTATTCAGACTATTTAACGGATATTGTATTGTATTTTGTTTAATCAATTGAGTCCATCGAAATATAGGTATATTATTATAGATATCCTGATATTGTAATATCATACCTATAGTCCAGGCATCTATTATTATGACTATTATCCAGGTATGGGCCAGCAATTCATTGCCAAATAAGTGCACATAAGGGCACAGGTAGTACCAAGTATTTGAACTATTAGTGAATAATACAATAAGTATATATCTTAATGGTAGTAATAGATAAATAAATTTTGACAAAAATATTTTTAAATATATATTTTTATTGATAGGTTGTCCCGAAACATAATCACTGGTACTACGTGTGACAACTAAATATCGTTTACCAAAATTAAATATATTATCCAATTTTTTAGATATTATTTCATTCATAATGTTTTTTACTTAGTGTTAAGTTTTATTTTGTTGATAAAACTACTATATATTATATTTAATACAAAAATATAAATAAATAAAGTGCTGTTTATTATTAAAATAATATATTGTATTGACTATTGCACAATTTTAAAAGTGATATAAAAATTAAAAATATATTTTTTATAACAATTTATATATTATTAAAAGTTATTTTTAAATATTAGATAAAATTATAAAACTAAAACACTAGCCTTAAAATATAATAAAATAATAATATTACAGTTTATTTTCACTATTTGTATTGAAACATTAATTTTATTTATGTATAATATATCATAAATTATAGTTGAACTAATTGAAGTAAAACTTATTAAATTGACTAATAAAATTGTAAAATAAAATTTATTGCTATAATAAATGGAAAATAAATGTATAAAAATTACAAAAATTTTCAAAATTTTGATTAATTATCATTAAAAAATAACCATTAATTTTAGTTATGCAATCATTTAATTATCTAAGTAAATATATTATCATTAATCAAAAATTATTATAAATAGTTTATAAAGTTATACTGAAAAATGTGTTATCAGAAAATTATCGTAAAGTTTCGAAAATTTTATTATAACAACCATTGAGTAAATTTATAAACAAATTAATTTTTTAAGTTTAGTCAAAATACAATTGTAATGAAATAATAATATATTATATTTCAGAAAAAAACAATTCATTAATTATAAATATTTAGTAAATTTAATAAATCGTAATATTCTAAATTTTACAAAAATATATTATTTTTTATGATTATCTAATGTAAGTTATAGTATAATTAACTTTCAGAAAAATAAGATAATAAATAATATTTTTTTGACGTTTTTATTAAAAGTAATTTTTATTTAGTATATTTAGAATAATTATTTTTTACTACTTAACTGTAATTTAATGTACAATATGTTATAATCCCATATAATGAAACATTTATCAATAATAAAAAACTATAATTGAAATTAGAAATAATTATGTATAGTATAAGATAAATATAATATAACTCAAAATAACTATGATTGCTTATTTTATTTAAAAAAAAAATTATTTTAGTTATATTATTAATAGAGACTAATTATTATAAACAATGAATATTTTGGTTATAATATGATATAATACTAAATTTATACAATTAAAATATCTTTTTTGGGTAATGCTTTCTAGCATTCTCAACTGGTTTTTTAGCTGATTTTATCGAAATAATCTTGCAAAAAACTAATTTGAAAAAAATTATTTAGTTATATAAATATTTATAAAACAAGTATTTTTAAAATATATTTTTATTAATAAACAAATTAAAATAATCTTAAAGATTAAAAGATATTTCTAACATAAATATTTTAATACTTATACTACTATTAAACAATTAACCAAATTATTATTGACTAAACAAAAATTGTCTCATAATTATTGTAAACAATCTTAAAAAATTAATAGTTTAAATCAAACTCATAATTAATATATAGTTTGCACCAGCAATACAAACAAATTGATAAAATTCATAACTAGTCATTGGAAACAAATTATAGCAATAGATGCCAATCACAGGTCCCGATAGTCTATCAATAAATTGTGATATTTTTAATGCCATTCGTGTATTGTTTCGGTGATAATAATAACGATTGCGTGCAAAATATGCAAACAATTTTCTGTACGACTTATGTGCTGATGAGCTGACATTTGTACACATAATTGTCATCGAAATTATAGCACTAAAACAAAATGCCGATAAAAATAAATAAAACAATCGACCGATTAATGTAGTATCGGATTGATGGACACCATAGACTATAACCTGAAAACAAGGTGTAGCCATATAGTAGATGACTAATAAAATATATTGAAATGTATGATTAAAATCACGGGTCATATGTTCAATATATTTGTGTTCATCGATAGCTTTTCTTAGTGCTATTTTGTCATCAGTTTTAATACTTTTAGCAATTTTAATATTAATTTCTAAAAATTTTAGTTTCAAATAATAGCTAATCGATATACAAAATGTTGAACCAAACCATAATAGACTATATATTTGATAACAAACATTAACCATATTCATACACCAAACAATTAACATTATTAATGATTGAGTGTATTTGCTATTGTTATCCATATAAGCTATTACATTGAATAATGAATGAAAGCCAAAAGTTATGATAATTGACGGCTTAAATAAATATTTAACTAAAATTATGTTTAATATATTGAACCGTTTAGCAAATTTAAATTTATTTCCACTATTTAATGGATACAGTATTGTATTTTGTTTGATCAGTTCAGTCCATTGAAATATCGGTATATTATTTTGATAATCCAGACAATGAAATATCATACCTAGAGTCCAGCCAACTATTATTACTATTATAATCCATGTGTGGGCCAACAGTTCATTGCCAAATAAGTGGACATAAGGGCACAGGTAGTACCAAATATATGGATTATTAGGCAGTAATAGTATTATTATAAATCTTATGGCTAATAGTAGATAAAAATATTTAGCCACAAATAGTGATATTAATGTCTTGTTAGTAATCGGTTGTCTCAAAACATAATCATTCAATTCACGTGTTAAAACTAAATATTTTTTAGCAAATTTAAATAAATTATCAATTATTTTATCAATTGGTTTCATTTTTATTAGCATAACTACTAAGCATGTATTTGATTTTATAAATATAATATTAGTAAACATATATTCAATATAATATATATATAATATTGTTTATTTTAGATTTTATTTAAACATTTTTCTATATACAATAATTTTTTATTATAAACAATATGTTATCTGATAAAAACCAATGACTATTAATAACACATGTTTATGACATATAATTTAATTAATGAGAAAAAAATATTATAATTTATAAAAATATGTTATTGTTCTTTAAAAAAATAATGATAGCTATTAATCTTATTAATTACATTTATTAAGTTATAATTTATAAATTGTCTACAATATATTATTAGATATTGTATTTAATATCTAAATTATAATTTATTTAAATAAATTATATTTTCATATTAATAATAATAATAATAATTTTATGATATAATAAATTCTAAATTAGTAATTAATAAAAAAAACACTATTACTATGAGATAAATAAAAACAAATAATATTGTTAAACAAATATTATACAAACAATATATAATATATTTTTAACTTATTAAACTAATTTCTAACAATTGCAATAATTATACTGAAATAGAAATTAAAATATTTATAATCTAAAAAAATAATATTTTTTAATACATGTACTTATACTCTTAACTAAACAATTAATCAAATTATTATAGACTAAACAACTTGACTTATAATTATTAAACTGTATAAAAATTAATAATTAAAAATAGACTCATAATTAGTTTATAGTTTATAGTTAACACAAATTGATATGACTTATGGGCCGATGAATTGATTTTTGTATACATAATTGTACCCATATTTTTAGTCAACTAAAACAAAAATATGTCGAAAATAAATAAAAAAAATCGACCGATAAATGATGTATCGGATCGATGGACACCATAGAGTAAGAGTAAAAATAATAATGTATTTTAATTATCTTTATCTAACAAATATTTGTAGTAATAAACTAATTAATATAATCTTAATAAAAAAAAAATAAATCTAACAAAATAACTATAAAAAAATATTTTAATACTTATTCTACTACTAAACAATTACTCCAATTATTATTGATTAAACTCAAAATTGCCTCATAATTATTATAAACAGTCTTAAAAAAATTTAATAGTTTAAATCAAACTCATAATTAGTAA